AAGAAGAAAGAAGAAAGAAAAGTGGATGAAAAAATTACCAACTGTGAGCAGGAATTTTTTCATCCACTTTTCTTTCTTCTTTCTTCTTATTTACATTCCATTGGTTCTAATAACTTCCCCTGTACATTCCTTGGCATTACTGTCTGCTATATCTATATATATATATATATATATATATATATATATATATATATATATATATATATATATATATATATATATATATATATATATATATATATATATATATATATATATATTTATATAAACTTCGAGAATAGTGCAGTATAGGAAAGAAGAAAACAACAATAAAATATTTATTTAATCCTAACAGTTTCGGCTGGTGGACCAGCCTTCTTCGGAGGATGTAAGTTTTTTTTTTTTCACTTACATCCTCCGAAGAAGGCTGGTCCACCAGCCGAAACTGTTAGGATTAAATAAATATTTATTGTTTTGTTTCCTATACTGCACTATTCTCGAAGTTTATATCTTTTTTTACGGTAGCCGGAAGAAACTCTGATCATCTATTTCATCCACACACACACACACACACACACACACACATATATATATATATATATATATATATATATATATATATATATATATATATATATATATATATATATATATATATATATATATATATAAAGGAGAGAGAGAGAGAGAGAGAAAGTTTTTCAATGGGTCAAATGCACTTGGGAAGAGAACAGAGACAACTTATCGGTTGTCTTAATTTTATTTCCAATGGTTTCGACCAGAGGACCGTTCTTCGTCAGGGTTTGCGAACAAGTCTGCGAGCAAACTCTGCAGCAAAATGGCAAGTTGAGCCAGTTGGATTACGTTAATATATAAAATTTTGAAACCCTGCATCCAAATCTGAGCACACGGGCCAACGCATTTTCGCCTCCATCGAGAATGCAGCCGCCGCAATCTGGATTCGATCCCGTAACCTGCGTGTCAGCAGCAGAGTACTTTAGCCACTAGGCCACCATGGTAGGGAGTTTTTATACGTCGAAATAACAGGAAGCTATTTATAAAAATATGACTGACAAGGAAGGAAGGAACAGGAGGAAAGGAAAATGCAGGGGTGTCTATAGGAGATTATCCTACAGAGGGGAAAGTAGCGGGGGAGGAGAGAGAGAGAGAGCACGCACACGCAAATTCACACTTCATATTCATCGTAACGCCATAAGTCTGTTGCTTTCTAGAAGTTGAGCACTGCTTAGTCGCCCTCACTCGCGATGACCTCTCAGGTAGACATTTCACAATGCTTTCTGCCTTCATCACTCGATGATCTATGTGATGTTCTCTGTGCATTGTAGCGAGGACAGTCGAAGATGTGCTGTGATGTCTCCTCGTTACCACAGTTATCCCAAACAGGGTTGTCAGCCATTTTGATTGAAAAGGCATGAAGGGGGGGGGGAGATAAACAACAAGAGGGAAGGCAGGTAGGTTAACCAGGCGCATGCCCAGTTTGCTAGCCTACGCTGGGGTAATGGGAAGGGGGGCGTAAAGATGAGAGAGAGGAAAGAGAAGAGAAAGAGGAAAAAAAAGGATTGTCAGTCAATCGGCTGGCGCGTATGCAGCGGGGGCACTATACAAAACCTAAAGGTGTTCGCATAGGCCTGTAGTCCTCAAAAAGCACAAGACAGCTTTGACTGCTTTTTGAGCCGACGAAAGGCGATGACGGTGTTCCAGTAGCATCTGCACAGAGAGTGGCCGATCGTCGCATTGTCGCAATGCGTTCGAAAGCTTCTGTCTTTTAGAGGCAAATCGAGGGCAATGGCATTTCAGATGGTCGATGTCTTCTTTGGTGCAGAATACGTCGCAATCCGCATTGTCGGTCAATCCGATGAGGGTTCTATATGCTTTTGTGAAGGCAACCCCCAACCAAAGGCGACAAAGAAGCGAAGCTTCACGTCGACGAAGTCCGGATGGAGGTCGAAGTTTCAGTCGAGGGTTTATTTGGTATAGTCTCGTATGTCTTATGCTTGGGGTGTTCCACTCCTGCAGACTCAGACTACGTGCCATGTGACGAAGTTGCTCTGCAGCGTCAGTCCTTGACAAAGGAATCGGAAGGGTGTGCTCTTCTTGGTTCGATGTGCGAGCCGCATTGTCTGCGGAATCATTGCCACCGATCCCACAATGGCCAGGAAGCCACTGAAACTTGACCTCGTGGCCTGTTTCTGTGACGTGGTGAAGAAGCTTGACAACTTCGTAAGTTAATTGTTCGTGGCAACCTCGTCGAAGGACTGACTGCATGCTCTGTAGGGCTGGTTTCGAGTCGGAAAACACAGCCCATTTACTCGGTCTTTAGAATTTGATGTACTCTAGGGCGCCACGCAAAGCCGCAAGTTCCGCCACCGTAGACGTACGTGTGACAGTTTCATTCGCAGAGTGATTCCTCTAGCTGGAGTCACCACCGCACCGCCAGAACCAGACGCTGTGGTTGAACCATCGGTGTATATGTGCACGTGGTTGTTGTACATTTCGTGCAGAAGGCTTAAGCTCAATTGTTTTAGGGCTGATGAAGGCAAATTTGATTTTTTCTGTACTCCTGGAATTGAAACACGTACTTGTGGAAGTGTCGGGCACCGCGGAGGATACACCAGTTTCTCAGCAGGCGTAAAACCTGACGTAAACGACGCACGATGACCACAGGGAGGCCCCGCACTAAATTTCGTGCGGGGCCTCTCAGTTGCGAGGGTTACCAAGTGGTGGGAAGGATTCCTAGCATGTTGCCTGAGGTACGTACGCATCGTTTCAATGGTGATGTGCGTCATGATCGAGTAGTCCTGTGCAATGGCAATTGTTTCAGCTGTCGATGCGCAGCGTGGTAAACCAAGGCATATCCTATGCGCTTGGGCTTGAATATTTTGGATTGTGCGCAGGTTCGTTTTGCACGTGTTAGATATAACAGGTAGGTTATACCGCAGGAATCCAGTAAATAATGCCTTGTACAGCTGTAACATTGACTCGACAGACATTCCCCAACTTTTCCCAGCAAGAAACCTGAATAAGTAACAGATGGCAGTCAGCCGCTTTTTCACGTAGTTTACGTGGGGTGTCCAAGACAGGTTTCGGTCGATTACGACTCCCAAGAACCTGTGACTCCGGCTGCATGACACCAACTGTCCGTTAATTGATATGCCGTAAGCGGACATTGGTTTTCTGGTGAAAGCCATGACTGCACACTTCCCACTTGCGATTTCGAGCCCTTGTTTGCGTAGGTGGTACGATGTCACTTATCCTGCCTTCTGAAGTCGAACGCGAAGTTGAAGTCGAGTCACACCTGATGTCCACACACAGATGTCATCAGCATAAATGGAAAGTCGTACACTGCTTGGTTGCTTGCCAACTAGTCCAATGAGTGTTAGGCTGAACAGCGTCGAGCTTAGCACTCCGCCTTGCGGGACTCCTCGGCTGCAGTAATACTCGGGTTTCGGGCCATTCCCCGTCTGCACGTGAAATGATCACGTGAAATGCACGTGAAAGGCGTGAAAAATCATAATAAAACAAGGGGCTGGGGGATATGTGTGATTAGCTTATGTGTTACAAGCAATATTGTCAAGCGGTCGGGACATTAACGAAGGAAGCAGTCGGCATGTGATACAGCCGAAACCACGGAGCAACAGTATTCTTGCTCCGTGGCCAGAACTCTATTAAGGCGGACCTGCGACCCGAAAACGAAAACTCTGACTACAGCTATTCTCACCGCACACTGATATCGGCGAATTTAGCGTCCGCCATTGATAAACTGTCAAGCGGTGAAGCGCGTCGGTATTTATACACGTGCCATCAAAGATTCCAGCGTTCTCACTTCAGGCCGCGTAAGTTTTCGAAAAAGCTTTTTAATGTTCGCGTTGTGCACGTAGCCTCATCGGAAGAATACATCTTCCCAGCCTGCCTCGGTCTCTCACTCGTGCGTGAGCTTCGGCCACAGGAGAAGAAGGCAAACAACGGTCATGAACTGTCGTTCTATACTGACTACAGTGAAAGTTTCTTTACAAGCATAGTACAAGAAACAAAAGCGGGAGGCAGAAACCCGTAATTAAATGTCGGTTGTTGAACCTCGGCTGCCGGAACAAGAAAAAAAAACAAAAACGAAAGGGCTAGTTCCTCTAGATATGCGCATGTTCGTCGAGGTTTCCGCGAACCTTTTACAATCAACATTTCTGCCTTGTGACTCCGCTGTCTGAGAGGACGGCGCCATGCGTTGACCAACGCCGGTGACGCAAGTGTTCCGAGAGGATACTGCGCTCGTTCCCGTCCTCTTCACACCAGATTTATCCGTCGAGCAAGCAGCCGCGTACACGGAGCGAGGCGGCCGCCGCCGCGGAGGACCGGAAACGCGGTCCGCGATGAATAAGTGAATCAAGTGAGTGGGCTCCTTTCCCTCCGCTGGTGCTGTCTGTCGGAAGTTCCGAGGCCTTCTCCACCACCGGTTGACGCCGACGCTCTCAACGACGTCGTCTCTTGACGTCTGCGAATGGCTTTCGCGATTTTCGCCCTCGCCCACTAAATCGCCAGCTTGCGAGCGCGTCTCTTCCCTCTTTTTTTTTTTACGCACATTCTGCGTTGGTTTAAGATGGTAGGGGGGGAGCGAAGTTGTGATTGTCTTGCAGAAACGAACGGCTCCCTCCCCCTCCTTCGAGCAGCTTCCATAATTGAAGGCCCCGCCGCTGCTTATAGTATCATGCGCACCGCATCACGTGCAGGACAACCCTGGGCAGCGCCTGGCAGCCAGGGACACACACACGTTGGCGAGCAAAGGGGAAGGTAACGGTATGAGGAAAGGTTAAGCGTATACGGCGCTGGCTTTTTGTTGTCGGCTGTTCCACCTGAGCTCTCATTGGAGGGAACAGTGAAGGGGCCGGTATCCTGGGGGGTCCTCGACGGGCCACCCATAAGCAGGCTACGGAGGCGCACCTCGCTTCCTATTGGCCGAAGCACTTCGGAGGTGGGGGGGTTGCAAGGCAGGGAGGGAGGGGGAATCGATGAATCTTTTTCGAGTTCGCCGTCTCGTCGTCGTCGCCGTCGGCAGCGGCGCGCCATCGGAGGCGCGAGAGAAAAATAACAAAAAAAAGAGAGCCCCAGAGACCAGGTGGGGGTGTTGCGGGATTGCGAGGGGGGGGGGGGGGTAGTTGAAGCCACGAGAGGCAGAAGAAGAACAAGAGAAAGACGACACAGTGTGGAGAGAGGGTGTGAGGGAGAGAAAAAAGGGCATCCGCGCGAACGTGGAGACGGCCCGGATCCAGAAGGGTCCAGGACAGGTACGGCCAGCATGCGCTCGCCCCGGACGAAAGCCGCGCGTCGAGGTGTGGTTCGGACCAGGGTACGACGCTGAGCGGCTTCGCCATGGCGCAGCCGCGACGGTCTTCCATCGCACCGCGGCACCGACAACGTTCAACGTCGCCGTCTTGGTGGTCTACCGTCGTGCTGGTGACGCTCTTCATCCTCTTGTGCTTCTGCTGCCTCCCTCCAGGATCGGAGGCAGTGGGCTCCGACAACATGGCCAAACGCAAACCGGGCCGAGGCCGAGGATCTAGATGGTGGTGAGTGACCGTTCCACTCGGGATCACCGCTGGGCGCCTTCTTTTGCCATTGAGGAACTCAATCTCGCGCACGCCTCAAAACACCGCCGGATAAGGGAGTCGTCGTCAATGTCTCTTTCCCTCGCTAACGGGTTGTTGCGTCTTCCGAAGTCCTCTCTTCTCGGGTCACGACTCTGCATAATCCGGGCCGCCTAATTATGCCTGGCTGATCGGTATCGTGCACGCCGATGCCGCCGGGCTGGCGTCCGTTCATCCTTCTTCGGTGTGTGTTTCTCTCCCGCTGAATAATATTCCAGCAGCAGCAGCTCGCTGGACGAAGGAAAGACAGCTTTGCATTGTAAATCAGCTCCGTGGCATCCGACGCCTTATCGGATGGGACGATCGATGGCAGCGCGCCAATAATACGCAGAGCTAAACACCAGATTCAATGAACTCGCGGGTCACCCGCCTTTTCACTTGAACGCGTTCCAAGTTTCTCCTTACGTGTTCTCTTCGTCCTTCGAAACAGTTCATAACCCAAGTGGGGTAATATTTAGCCAGGCAAGCGAACAAAGTTGTTCGAGAGAGCGCCGGTGAACGAAGCCGTGTGTATTTTCGGAAGCTGTCTATCACGCAGGTGCCTCACCAGGCTTCGTCTACAGTGCACGGCTACAATGTAAGCGTTGTTTCGGACAATTCGTGGCATCAGAGCAGCTGGCCGCCCGAAACAACGTCGTGGCCTTGATCGTACGACATCCGTTGCGCAAAACACGTTATTTTATCGATTGCCCACTCTCTTCAGACAGGACGCCGTTCAATGCATTTCTCACAGCGCCTTCCTTACGATCTACAACCTATATTAAGAAGCCAAGTACATTTTGCTCGCGTATAAACGATAGCGATGTGCTGTCAAGGTGACCTTGTGCAAATGTTCAAATGAATATTCCCATTTCTCGTTGTAGAATGATTCATCAACACCGAATGGCGAGTGCCCTTACCCTCTTGTGTTTATTTAGAAATATACATATAAGAATATAGCCTACAGAACAACGGAGCAGCCACAGATTGCGTGCGTAGAGATGCGCACAGCGAGTCCCACAGTGGAGGCATCCGTACGGGCAAAAACCACCCGGTAATGATGCGTAGGCGAAGGGACGAAGCTTCAGAAACGAAAAGAAGGATGGGATTTTCGTCTCCTCCAGTCTGAACGGCTGGACTGCCCACACACACGTGCACAAAGCCACTGGTTGACGTACACATGATCGGCGGAGGCGCGAATGTACACGAACTAATGTTCCGCACCGTCGACTCGGATAATGGGTGCCCAGACGGATTCTCCGAAAGGCATCGCGAAGCGACCCGGCCCTTCGAACAGAACCTGCCATTTGGGCACCGAGCTGCGTGGTGACTCGACGCACGCCGTATCCACTGTGCTCATATACACAAACAAACATGCAACACGTTTGACACGTGGGCCATTCACTCCAGCGAGCATGCACGCCACAAGCGTGTGCTGAAAGGTGTTTCTACTCGCAGAGGCATTATGATGGTTTCAAGCTGCGTTTTGCTGGTGACCACATAATCGCACGCAGCTTCGGTTTCCGGCCGCAGGGTTCCAGAGGCCAAGCTTCACAACAGCGAGAAAACACTTTTCAGCTGTAACTCGGACAGCATCTTCGTGCTCGCTCTTCAAGGTTAAACTTTAAGCCTTTCTTTAGCTCTGGTGTCTACCAATTCAGCAAGCGTGCTATAAGCGCGACCAACACAATTATTGTTGTTTGCGTCATCGTTACATTATTCATAATTTAATAATGTGCGCCTTGCTTGAGCTATGTATGAAAAAAAAATTGCCTGTGTGTGGAGTACCCGTTGTTTGAGGCCTTGAAGTCTTGGAACATTTTATGGGAGCTCAGTTTGAAAAGGTCGACGACCGAAACGTTTCCATGCATTCTTCGACACATGTCGAAGAATGCACGTGGCAGCGACTAACACGGGTCTTTTATGTCAATTGATAATGCCTGAAGCCGTATAATGCTAAATTTGAAATGACTGTCAGGAAGATTCGCACCAAGAAGGGATCAACACTTGCTGTTTCTCACGTAAGAACAAAGCCAACCCGACTTCTATAAATCTACTCATAAGTCAGGCTTCCTCTCCTCTGCTAGTTCTGTCTAGTTCCATATTTCTTATGCGCTTTAAGAATTCCTGATTTCCCGAAAATGTGTGAATTACTACAAAGGATATACAAGAATGCTTGCAAGCAGACTATACAAGAATTCTTACAAGCAAAGAATATATACAAGAATGCTTACAAGAATGCTCCGAAATGGATCAAATGCAATGTCTATATACAGAAACACTGGGGGGTAGTAGTCTTGTGTTTATAGATAAGTTTTTTTTTTAGGGAACCCAATGTTAAAACAAAAACTGCGTGATTGCTGTAACAGATGTATAAACATATAGTTCAATAGTCTCGATTTCTTTCTGCACAAGGTAGAATTTGATCTCGAGTGAGGTAAATATTTATTTTATGTAAGCGTATATACCACCCGGGCAGTAAATACTGTCTTAATGGGATGAACACTTACAAACTGAAGCATGCCCAAAATGGCCCAGTTGGCGGGCTCGTGTTCACATTTTGTTCTCTAGCCACTCGAAACAAATGACCGATACATCGAATAATGGGCTCGAAAAAACGATTTTTCTTAATTTATCTTTAAAAACACGGCTGTATTAGTGGTGGAAGCACGTGTGGATGCACTAAAAATAAAAATCAGTCAAAAGAGAGAGTTGGGCTAGTTGGCTGGTATTCACAGTGGAACAGCGCTGAGGTTAATCATAAAGATGGTCTGAACGACACGAGCGCTGGCAGACAGCTGACTGCCTTATTCAAGCGAAACGGAAAAATAAAGGAAAGAATGAAGAACAAAACATGCGTGCGCAGGCTGTGCACGTGACAAAAGACGACATATGTAACATCATTTAGTTTTTTTTTTTCGAGTCAATTGCATTACTGTACTGCGAGCTGACATAACAGGCTGCCCATGTTTCCTTCTTCTTTCTTTCCTTTGCTTTTCCGTTTCGCTTGAATAAGCAATTAGTTGTCAGGCAGCACTCCTGTTGTTCAGACCTTCTTTGTGATTCGTCTCTGCACTGTTCCACTATGAAAAAACAGTCGTTGACAACGAGACCATGTTGTTAACCATTAAGCTTTCATAGTATTTCTTTCAAATTCATGTATCGAAACTTGAAAAAAGCCTGTATACAGGTGAATATATGTACATATATGTATTATATATATATATATATATATATATATATATATATATATATATATATATATATATATATATATATATATATATATATATATATATAATGAGATATAACAGACAGTAATGCCAAGGAATGTACAGGGGAAGTTATTAACAATAATGGAATGTAAATAAGAAGAAAGAAAAGTGGATGAAAAAATTACCAACTGTAAGCAGGAATCGAACCTACGACCTTCGAAGGTTCGATTCCTGCTTACAGTTGGTAATTTTTCATCCACTTTTCTTTCTTCTTATTTACATTCCATTAATGTTAATAACTTCCTCTGTACATTCCTTGGCATTACTGTCTGTTATATCTCATTATTATTGTGTTAAAAATACGGAAAAACGAGCCCTTAGGTATACACTTCTTTCCCATATATATATATATATATATATATATATATATATATATATATATATATATAGAGAGAGAGAGAGAGAGAGAGAGAGAGAGAGAAGAACTTGAGATCACATGGGTCTGATGGGGTTATTCTATCGTGTCTTGGAACACGTATTGTTCATGCATACGAAGAAGCGTGGTTGAAAAACACGCAACTATATTCCCGAATAACACGAACAGGCAGTCATTCAATGAATCACCTATACAGAGCTGATATATTCAAGCATTGAATTATTCTTAAAGTACTTCAATGCATTGTTTCATTTACAGTTTCACACGCATTTATAATAATGACGTTATTTATATCTGCTCTCCAGTCTCTGTATGAATACCACTTAGGAGCCGAATACCTAACATCACACGTCATACTTTCACGTATTTCAGCGTTACAGGCGTCTGGTGCTGCTTTTTGTTTAAACTGGTGAAGCGTGTAGAGTTCTAAAACTGCGCACGATGTCCAATTCACAAGTGTCTCATTCATAACTTTATACTTTCTTGGCCACAGAGCTCATAACAGACATGCAGACACAAAGAAGAAGCCGGCAAACGTGCGCATCTGACGCGATTTTACAACAATGTGAAGTCGGTTGGACGTAAACTAAACATCTTTTATTAGCTTTGTTGAAAAAACATGTACAACATTTGCGGGGACCCCCAGTGCAATACGAGGGTGCACTTCATCTTCCTGAAAAAAAGTTGGTAAATGAGCAAACTGTGACACAGTTGACGTTCTTGAGTGTTCAGTCAATAAACCGGCAAATTAGCCCATAGCCTCAACTTAAATCTACCCTTGCCCCCTTTGTTTTTCTACTTCCCTTTCCCACTTCCCTATATAGCAGCTAACCGGGCATGTGTCTAGTTAACATCTTGCCTTCCTCCTCTTGTTTTCTCCTTTCCTTTGATGTTTGGGGCAGGGAAGTACATATCTTGTTATCTATCTATACTTCTCTCAGTTTTCGTTCAGCTGAATGTTTCTGTGCTTTGCTTCACATATCTAAATTTAAAGTATGAAAGTGAAAACGAGTTGACCACAATGTACATATTACGGTGTCAGGCACGGAGAGCATTGCAACGTTTCTTGATGATAATTTTATATGTCATAGGCAAGATATAGGCAGGTAGTTATGACAAGATACTTTTAGTTGCAAAACTGATGTAACAGACAGAATTTCTGATCACAAGCTGGTCGTAGCTTCACTAAGTATTATTCGGTCATCTTTGAAATAAAACCAACAAGTTCATAACTTCAATAATGCGGATGACACTTCCATTCTCGACCAGTTGCAAATGGCCTTCAATGCCCT